TTTTAACATCAGGCCTCCAGATTTTGACTAATTTAGAGGACAATTTTTGTCTGAAGAACAAATGGAATTTTCATGGAGTACGTGTCCCAGCAGCCACTACCAACACAGCACAGCTCTCTCCAAAAGAAATGAAAAGGGATACAACCATCCTTCAGGTCTTTCTATCAGCAACTGCATAGAAGTCTCAGATTTCATCCTAACTTTATCCTCTTAGAAATCTTCCTTAGATATCTGGAAGGTGGTCAGGGACATCTTCTGCTGTTAAAGTGTGTGGAATGGCGACTCCCTTAGAGATCTGATGTACACAATTTCCACTCACTTTGCGTGCTTTTCATTAAAAGGGTCAGGTCCTACAGATCCAAACATACACATTCACTTTTTCTTTTTCTTTTTTTTGGCTCACTTACTGTGCTTGTTATGGTTCTTATTGGCCTGATTTGTTTTGTTTAAAAATTCAAGGCTTTTTAAAAAGCGTTTTAAAGTGAATGCAGCAGCGTAAGAATGCTGTGAATCCAGCATTCCGGAGGCTGAGGACAAAGGATCACAAGTTCAAGATCAGCTTGAGCAAGTTAGTGACTTAGGGAGACACTGTTTCAAAACAAAAATGTCCCAAGTAGAAAGGCCTTTGCCTTATGCCCCAAGAACACAAAAATAAGCAGAACAATTTTTGTTGCGAACAATTGCAGAAAATGTTCAGAGATCACTGTGTCATATCTGAAAGAGCCACAAATCTTGTTTTTAAAGGTGTAAACATTCTCAGAGCTGCTCTGGATGAAGAATTCCAGTCTACACAGATATCAAAAGCTATATTATCTTCCTCTATTTCTTTCTGAAATATGCGCCAAACTATAAGATTGTAGACTAGTGACTCCCCAGTGAATCCTAAACTATGCTAAAGATCACTTTCCACCACCCGGAAGGTTTAACTACAACTACATTTAATTGGCACCAGTGGGCAATTCATCAGGGAGTTGCAGTGTGACTATTCAGGAAACGTCTGGCTGCCATAGTGCTGGTGGGCTTATTCCTCTCAAGTCTCACAAGGTCACTTGTGGAAACATTTTGTGCCACATGTTGATGATGTGTCCAGTTCAATCAATCAATCAGTAAATATTTATATTAAAGGCTTGTTCTATCACTACTGCTAGTAAGATTCTTTGCTGCGTTGGCAATGAGTTCATATGAATGGTGTTCAGGAAAAGGTCAGGATGATCCTTGTCCGACCACAGTGGTGGTGTACTGTTGTTTGCAGTCCTTTCTAAATAGAAAAATCAGTTAGTTCACCAGCAAGTAATTACTGAGTACCTACTAGTGTCTACATTTTTAGGAGGCATATTTCTCAGTCTAGCAAAATCTCAAAAACCAGAGTCTTTCCCTGCATTTCTTTGCCCTTCCAATAATTTTTATATTACTAACCTGAATTGGGTAGTTAACAAGAAGTTTTCATTCTTATTCCAACCAAAAATGTTATAGAGGATGTTTTCCTTCTTCTACAGCTCAAGAACTAGGAGACTGGGGTTTGTCTGAAGTCACAACCAATAAAGTGACTTTAGCTAGTACGTTTCTCTCTGCTATATTTAAAACACTGTAATAATTGCTTGGGTTTGGAAATAGCATTGATAATGAGATGAGTATAATAGCTTTGACTAAAAAATTTAATATCAGAAGTAGTGAAGTGATTTTGTCTCATTCTAAAGCAGAACTGATGTATTTCCAAACCTCTCTCTCATATTACTCAAGCATGACCCAAGCCTTTGAAGCCTTCTGCAGTTGCCTGACCCCTCCTGGCACAAGCTTGTCCTGGGCTTTATTTAAATTTGATTTTCTCAGAGCTGTACTCAGAAGCTGTGTGTGCGACCATTTCTTCACCTCCCGAGATCTCCAGCTCATGCTAATGGGACTGCTGTTTCTGTCATTCAACTCAAACAACTTGTAGTAAAGTCATGTTGGCCTTCAAGTCACTAAAGTAAAAAATATATTTTACTCTCTGTATCTTTGAATTCTTAGTGGCCAGAAGAATGCAGTGGTAAACAAAGCACAGAAGTGAAGTCAGACTGCCTTGATCTGCAGTTTGAATCTTGACTCCCAAGAGACCTCATGTCAAAACTTAATGCTTAACTTGAAAGCATGGGGAAGGATAGAATCTCTAAGAGGTGAGGCCGGTGGATGGTTTTATATCATGAGAGTGTACCTTTAGAGGACCGCGGGTTCTTCCTCCCCCTTTCTATGGTTTTTGTGTTCCAGCCTTGAGATGAGCAGCTTTGTTTTTCTATGCTCTTCTCGCCATGATGAGCTGCCTTGCTACAGGCCCCAAAGCAATGGGACCAATTGTTCATGGACTGAACTGCTCAAAGTGTGAGACAAAAATAAACCTTTTCTCCTATTAAGTTGATTGTTTCAAGTATTTGTCACATTAATGGAAAGCTAACACTTAACCAGATGTTGTGGGGTTCAAGCAAAGTTCTTAAATTCAGTTGCTCCATCCATGAAACAGAGATAATAGTATCTACAGCTTCTATATCATAATATTAGATGAGAGGATGCAATCAGTTCATATATGTAAAGATTTACACATAAACTGTCATATGTGTTGGGGTGTTAGTATTTATTGTTTTTAAGATGGTTGACGTGTTATGGCTTGGATCTGAAATTCTCCCCAAAAGCTCGTGTGTTACAGGCTTGACAATGTGCAGAAAGGGGGCCCTTGGAAAGTGATTGGAGCATGAGAGCTTCATCTATTGACAGATTCATAATATAACAAGCTACTGGGAGGTAGTAGAAATTTAGGGAGTGACACTTATCTGAAGGAAAAAGGTCCTTATGTGAATGATTTTGAAGGCTATATTTTGTCCCCAGCCTCAGGCTCCTTCTCTTTCCCTGCCCTACATGTGTCTCTGTCTCTTGTCTTTGTTTTTAAACCTGACCAATGCCTACATTTTTCAAGCTTTGTTTGCAGCTCATTTTTATTAAGTGTTCTATCTCTCAACAATCTCAATAAAATTCACATCTTAGAATATGAAGTTCATTCAAGTGTTTCTTGCTATCAAAGACTCCTCTTCTGAATTCCTGATTGACATATCAAACTGTCTTCCTCACATCTGACTTGGATGTCTCCCATCCAGTCTTCCTCCCTAAACTGATTACCTTCTGTTATCCTTTATTTTAATAACAAGGTCCCATTTTTATTGACACTGTAGAACCAGTAATTATTCAGATTATTTCTGTTACACTCATCCTTGATGTTCCATATGAATCCTGAAGATTAGACCTTTCAGATCATCTTGTTAATTTATTCTTCACATCTAGTCAAAGCCACCATTAGTTTCCATCTGAGATACGGCAACAGCTTTTTGTTACGACCTATATTGTGATGCGCTGCCAAAGCCTCATGTGCTCACAGGTGTGACTTTGGAGAGGTGATTGGATCATGGAGGATGTGATACTCAGCAGTGAAATAGTGCATGGATGAGTTTGTAGCTAAATGTGGCTTCAGACAGAAGGTGGGTCCCTAACAGTGCATCCTGACAACGTCTACCTGCCTCCCCACTTCTCCTATCTCTGTCTTAATGAGCAATGCGGGAAGTAGCTGAGACACTTTCAAAGAACTCTCTTTTTGTCAACCTATCTTCTGTCTATTGATTTTCCATATTGAAGGCAGAATGACCTTTTCAAACACAAGGAGATTTTATTAGCACCTGGTTAAGGCATCTTGATGCCCTTCTTATACTGTTACATAACAAAGCCCAACTATTCAAATGCACTCCCAAAACCTACACATGTCAGCTTTAAATTATCCTACACTATTCCACAAGAGGAAGTCTTGTTTAATTACTACAGCTAATGACCCTTTATCTTCCATTTGTTGGATTTTGCGTATACCAGTTCTTCTGCTTCCTCCTCTTGCCTCTTTACTTTCTATTCTCCTGACATTTTTGGCTGTAGAATCTCATTCTCAGGTCCTTCCTCATATAGCCATAACCAGGTAAAGTTTTTGTATCCTTCTTCTTTTGGTATGCTTGTAGTTATATATTCTTTCATGTCACTCTTTGATTATGTCCGTATCACACAGTAAACTGTAGCCTCTCTGAGGCTATGCTTTTAAGAAAGAATGGTTACTACACTACAGTTAGGAACTGACAAATACATGCTGCTGTAAGACTCTGAATCCAGCTCTATCTCTGTGGCGTGATACCTGGAACAGCACGCATCTTTTCTTGAAGGCAAGATAACTACATCAACATGTACATGGTAACTACAGCCGAGTAACTACTAGCTGTGCTTAAATCCTGGCATGTTTGAATAGATGTGGTCACAGAAAGTGTGGTCAAATGAATTAGACATTTGTTAGAGGGCATAACGATTTGCATGACTGATACACACAATAGGAAGAATAAAGCATTTTACTTCACTTTTCTAAAATTGTTGAAACTACATCTTCTGGACCCTCTCTACTCACAGAGTGTTACGTGACCCAAATACAAGGGAATAATTTTACTTATTAGACAAATCTTATTTGCACTGTTATGTAGAGCCAGTATTTCAATTTTTCTCTCCCTGAAAAGAGGCTGTTTTAAATTACAGTGACTATACTTAGACCATACTAATAATCCCCAAACCACAAACAAGCTGGGCAATGTATTACTTTATCGACAGAATGATCAAAAATATTGTAAACTTCAGCCTTTTGATAACTTCACAGCTGAATAATAACGTGGCTGCTTTTACTAAGAACTAAGAAGTGTATAGGCATTTGTTATTCTGCAACCCCTATCCACTACTTGATAATAAATTGTTTTATGGCTTTGGTGTCCATATGTCAAAAATTCTAAAATCATTATGCAAACAAAGCAGGATGATTCTACTTGAAACACTTTTCCTATTAATATTATAGGATCTATTTTTTAAAGCCTCTGGACAGTTCATTTGAATGGCCACAAGAGAGCAGTAAGAAATTAAAGCTTAGAAGGATGATTCACAGACTTCTGTGCATGTTTTTTGCTATTAGGAAGAATTGAAAGACAAACTTACTCATTTGTTCTTAGACTTCACAATAGACTTTAGAATTTTTTTATCTTTTCTTTATTTTTTATAAACGATTTTTGGGAAGGAAAATAAAGATAGTATCAGTACATTTACTAAACAGGACCTTGAATTAGGGCTTGTAGAACTCAAGTTCATGGGTGAAGAACAAAATTACCCAGAGGCAAAGAACATCTTGAGAGGTCATTGGACCCATCTTTATGGATAATATAAGCCAGAAAAAAAGGTATGTGAAAAGTTTCATGGAAGAAATGTCTAACATCTCTTTCTAGAGCATATTAACTTAAAAACGTTAACTATTAGGAAATTTTCTTTACGTATGATCCTACTGCAATTTAGTTACTGTTTTAAACAATATCTAGAGTACCTTAGATCTTTCTCTCAAGTCCATTCCTATTTCTTTACCTGTCCGGGCCTTTACTGGCCATACTCATTTTGCTATGTTACATTTGAAATTCTGAATATTATGAATTGTAGAAATGAATCTTAAAATTATGAATATGCAAAATGACAAGCTGTAGCCATTGTATATGAGACCTATGAAAAATAAGTCAGAAAAAATATGAATTAGCAGTAGAAAACTAACATCTTTAATAATAAATAAGTCGTTTTGCTCTATTCAGTATTCTGTTTTGAAAAGTTTTAATAATGTTCTGTTTTTCATTTGATTTTGCTATACCTGATTGAATGGACAAGTATTGTGAAGATAACTAGATATACTATGGAACCCATTACTGTTATCCCCGTATCCTGCCCTCAAGTTCTGTACCAATTTCACTGCATTGTCTCGACTGGCTTTGTTCTGTCTTGTTCTACTACATTTTACTACCTTCAAAATTAAAAATAATAATAATAAAAAATAAATATTCAAAAAGTATAATCATGGTCAATAGTTATATAAAAATTTCTCATGATAAGCAGTGAACAAAGCAAAGTAAATTAAATTGACTTATTTTATATTACTACAAAGTCCAAATTTAAAATACCCATAGAATCTGGAGTTAATAATAAAGAAAAGCCACTCACAAACATATATGGTAGGCATAAATGGGAACTTAAGAGGGCATTTTTGAAGTACAACACAAAATCTTTAAAACTGACTTTTCCTTACCCTGGCAATTTCAATGCTAGGAATTAATCCTATTGAAACAATCATACAAGCAAGTGCAAAAGTTTTCTTAGTAAAAGTAGTTGAGAAAAAGAAATATATGTGGTTTCCAAAAGGAGAATTGATAAAAATAAATTAAGGTATTAAAATAAAATTAGACTTATTAAAATAATATAAATATCTATTGGCTGACTTTGAAAATTGATGGCACATTTTAATTTAAAATAAGATTGAAAATACAATATGTGCATGGTTCTATTTCAGAAGAAAATGTTAATGACCACATAGAAAAGGGCCAGAATAATATAGATCAAAACAGCAATTATGTCTGGGTAATAGTCTCACAAATTTTTAAAAAAGCTTTCTGTAGAGTCTGACTTTATTTTGTGTTTTTTTTTTTTGTATGATTTGATTTTTAACAATTAGTATATGGTACTTTCAAACAGCAAAAATAGAAAAAGTATTTCTATGCTGGCAAACTTCCTCAGATAATCTTAAATGTTACTTTAGCAAATCTGTGAGAAGTTGGATGTCAAAATGAAATCAGGCTAATAAAATACAGTCTGTTAAAATAACATTGTCTTAATAATATGAAAGAAAAATAAGAAACAAGAAGCTACCATGGTAGGTACAGGTTGTGTCTGTCTATATGCAAGTCATACAATTAGATGAGTTTTTAAAAATCTGCTCAAGTAAATATTTTATTTTGTAAATATTTTAGTTTGCTTTAAAAAAAAAATAACTCTATTTTACGTCTTGCACTCATGATCAAGACAATGACCTGTTTCAACATTTTCATTTGAACCTTGTACCTAATTTCATAAAAGTCTTTACTTAATGTGGTCTCTATGTAGCCATATAATAATAAAAATCATTATATATAAAAGTTTCGATTTCTACATATTTGGAAAAGAACATTGTGGCTTTTTAGTGTATGCTATGCTTTGTGCCTAGATGGTTCCTCAGAGCCTCACTGTAATTTAGGTGGGGCTTGTTCAGAGGTGGCTGGATATAGAGAGACTGACTTGTGGTGTAATACTAGGATTAAGGATATATGATTACTAAATTAGTCCACTGATTGATTTGGCACCTGTCCTATACCCGGCATTCTAGATCAGGACAGAAAGACCTTGCCAAGGCCCTTTGATTGCTTTGCTACCTTCTGCCTGACATAAATTGTTTCTTCTCTGCAATGCCTCTTTGCCATTCCCTGCTGTCTTTATGGACTGAAACCTTTACAAACTGTGAGTCAAATAAATTTTTCTGCCTTTTAACATGTGGATGTTGGGTATTTTGTCTCAGCAATGAGAAAAGTGACTAAGACAGAATTTGGTACCAGAGAAGTAGGATTGTTGCTGTGAATCTGCCTGACCATTCAGTTAAATAGTCTTTGGGGCTGGTTTGTGGTAAGAGTTTGGAAAGGTTCAGAGACGTGGCTGAAAAAGTAGAGCTGAAATGTCTTAGGCTGTACTTAATGGGAAGTTCTGGTCAGAAGTCAGAAGACCAAAATGTTGATAGAAAAATTAAAGATAAAGACCAAGTTCAAAAGGTTTCTGCTGAGAGGAAGGGCTGCATTGGCTGTTGGACTGCAGATGATGTGTGTTATACCTTAGCAGAAAATTTGTGTTTTGCTCTGTCCAAAGACTTTGCCTGAGAATAAAATTAAGAGCAATGGAACACTTAATCATACAGAAGAAGTTTCAAGGAGGTCTTCTTCAAGGAAGAATTTTGAGTCAGTGGCATGGTTGCTACTGGAGGCTTTTAGCCAGATTTATGCTGAGAATGAGGAGCAAAGAGCAAGAGCAGAATGATTTGAAATGCCATGAATTTAACTAGAAGGAAAGCACCAGTAAAACTGTGGCCTGCAAAGATAGAACGGAGGGGAAATTGGTCACTGAAAAGACTAGCAAGGAAAAGGCAAGAATTTCAAAAGAATACAACAGAAAAGATGGCCTGAGGACTAACCAGAGGACTCGTGATAACCAAAGGACTCTAGCTTTTGCAGCCTCAGAATTGCAAAGGTGAAAAACTGCTTTGAGAAAAAAGCCCCAGAGTACCGCGTTCCAGAATAACAGAAGCCTAGCGAGGTTATTCCTTAGAATTTGGTTCATAGACATTTGACTCCTACCACCAAGAAAGAATGAAGTCTGGCTACTAGTCCAGCTGGCAGAAAGCCGTGGCATCATCTGCATGATACTGGTTTTAAGTACATGCAGAATATAAGAGTTGTGGTGTCAGGAAGAATTCCATACAGACTTCGGAAAGCCTGGAAGACCAGGCAGTGTGTCCCTGAGAGGGCAGTGTGTGAAGTTGTGAGGCTGAAAGTCAGTGAGGACTCCAGAAGTTTGGAGAAGTAACACAGACCTCAAGGAGGGAGTAAAGATGGCCCGAGAGAGGAACCACGGACGCTACAACCACTGGAAGTGCTACAGGGAAGAGCCAGCAGCCCTCTGAAGTTCACAGCTTTCCACAGATTGTGCAGGATGCTAGACATGGAACCATGGGACTTAATGCTTGCTCTGCTGAATTTTGATTTTGCTTTTTGACTATTTCTTTGTATCCCCTCTCTGTACCTTTTGCAATGTAACTGTCTATCTTATGCCTTTGTATGTTGGAATGTTTAACATTCTTTTTATCTGTACAGTGTCTCACAGCTAAGTCTGCCTTAAATCTTAAAGGAGATTTGAACTTGGACTTCTAACAATGGTGAAACTGTTAGGAGTTTGGCAACTCTTAGAAATGGACTAAATGCCTTTTGCATAAACAATTGTACTTGAGTCTTCAGGGGTCAGAAACGGAATGTGATGGTTTGTGCCTAGATGCCCCTCCCCCACCAAAGCCTCATGAGGTCATAGATTGGGCTTCTTTAAAGGTGGCTGGATTTTGAGTGTGTGATTAACTCATGATGCAGTACTTGAACTGAGGGTCCTGGGATTAAAAGGATGTGATAACTAAATAAGTCTGCTGATTGGTTTGGCACCCACCATAATCCTGGAAGCCTAGATAAAATATTAAATGGGCAAAAAGAACCTGCTAGGGTCTTTTGATTACTTTGCTACCTTCTCACCACCTGGAACTGTTTCTCCTCTGTGGTGCCTCTCTCCCATGCCACCCTAATTTGGAGCTAGTTGATTATGCACTAATCTTCTATAAACTTCTATAAAATATACATTTCCCCCTTTCACTTGTGAGTATTAAGTATTTTGTCTCAATACTGAGAGAAGCAAGGCAGTAATAAGATATTTATTTCTTATAAATAAGAGTATTTATTTCTCACTGAGTCTAAATTACCTCTATGATTTCTTTTTTTTTTATTTGTAAAGTGGAAAAAAGAAAAGAGGAAAAAAGACTTATCAATGAAACCATGTTTCAAAACAGGTTAACAGGACAGTTACAATAGTTAATACATTGTGTATTGTTGTCTTCATAGTAGTTATTCAGAGTACAGGATAGAGGCATGATATCTTGTCCAAACAATATTAGCACAAAACTTTATTTTCAATGAATTAAGAGAAACTAGCTGTATAACTATCTTAATTATCTATGATTTCTAAGGTGATAAGCTATCAAACATCTCCTATGAACCTAGCTAGTATTATATTGAACCTTAAGACAGTATTATAACTTAAGATGTTAAACTGGGTTCAACATTTTGACTGTGACCGATAAAGTTGAAGACGGGGGGCAGCTTGTGTACTATACAGCACATTCAAGCCCTGACATTGTTTTATCTTTTTTAATAATAGAAGAAACCTTTTTCTTAATTACTTATATGCTGAGGCTCATTTTTTCTTAGAACTAAACCAATCCAGGTGGTTAAAAGTTGCTTATCTCTTGCTTGTACCTGTGGGAAATGACATTTGGGCTATAGAACAGTAAATAATGGTATTACCAAAATGTGAGGAGAGAAGTGGAAGTAAATTCCACTGTTTTATCCATCAAAACTGAAAATCTAGCCTTTAGCAGCCAATCCAATTCTATTCAATAGCCAGCGTCTTTGAATACTCTTAACTGTGGCTCCTGGAATGGCCCTGAAATAGGACGTGCAGATTCTGGTTACACAAAGGAGAGATCGGCGCTATAGAAGATGAGTAAATGCCCTCGCCATTTCCAGTCTT